TGTTTTTCATTTTCACAAGTTTTTTTCTTTACCCTATTTACCTTTCTCCTACCCCTCCCACTTCCCCTACTCTTTTAGACCCTTTCTTCATATTACACAATATAAATTATACATTTTGACCCTTATTCACAAATTTCACACCAGAGAAAATATTCAGTATTTACACATGTGTGACTTAATTAATTTCACTTAAGAGTATGGCCTCAGTGTGCATCCACTTAGCTATAAATATCTCTAGTTTCTTATTTTTCATGGCTGAGTAGTACTCTATTTTATAAAAACCACCCATCTTTATCCAGTCTCCAGTCGATGGGCAGTTGGGCTGTTTCCAAATTTTAGCTGTTATAAACTGTGCCACTATAAACATGGGTGAGCATATGTCGCTGTGGCATGATTTTTTACTTTAATTCTTTTGGAAAGTTACCCAGCAGAGGAATAGCTGGGTCAAATGGGACCTCTAATTCTAGTTGTTCTAGGAAGATAATAACATTACCGACCTACTTGATACTCTGTTGTGTAGTAATTGCTTCCATGGTCTTCAGTTTTCATTAAACATTCTGTGAAATAGTTTGACTTTCGGTAAATATTTCAAGAAAATTTTGCAAAAAGTGTAGATATTATATTTTGATACCTTTTTAACAAATTCTCAGGATTCCTTCATTTTTTATTTAATTTTTTTTTAACTTTTCCACCATTTCTTGTTGTTACCATTGTATACGCAGAAAGCTTAGGAATTTCCAAAAGTTTTAAGACTTCCATATATTTAGACTTTGTAGAGAAGTTTCTTTTCTTCACTATAGATTTCCAATAGTATTTCATTAGATCATAACTACTTTCCCATCACTTTGTGACTTGGATTTTTTTTATCAATTTAAGTATTTGATGATAAATTGTAGAATGTTGATCATATACTGTGTACTATAATATTTTAGTTGACAAGTTTCAAAATAATGTATCAATTTCATAATTTATTTCTGGGAGAGGAAAGCAAGCCCCCAGAATGATGAGCTGTACAGAGTTATAGTTTTGTTAACAATGACAAGTAGTTGTCCTCCTTTCTCCCTTTTTTCTTTTCTTTCCTCCTTTACCGCACCCCACCCCACCCGCTGAGTTACATCACCAGCCTAGTTTAGTTTTTATTTTCAGTCAGTGCCTTGCTAAGTTGCCCATGCTGGCTTGACTTGTGACCTTCCCCCTCACTCCTCCTCAGCCTCCTAGTAGCTGGAGTTATAGGTGGTTGTCACCACACCTGGCTCTTTCTCTTTAAGTAGTAGACACCATTTCTGACTTTTAGCAAGAAACACTGACATTCTTTTGAGGTTTAGTGTTGTTTTAAAAATAATGAAACTAGAAGTATTATCTAGCATTAATTAAAACCATTGAGATTTTGAAACATTTCTTTATATAATGTAAAAATTGTTTAGCTTTCATCATCTATTCTTAGATGCTTAAAAGGTAAAACCTATGTTAGGGATAGTTCATTGAATTTTGTTATAAGAACAAAAGATGCAGGGTACATGCTACTCTTGATTTCCATATGCATTATTTTTTTAAATACAAAAAGATGCACTTTTTTTTTTTTTGAGACAGGTGTCTTGCCTATGTATTTCAGGCTGGCCTTGAACTCCATATGTAGCACAGACTTGCCTCAAACTCATGGCAGCTTCCCAAGGTACCCTTTTTTGAGGGGGGTGTGTACTGGGGATCAAACTTAGAACCTTGCGCTTGTGAAGTGGGCCACAGCTCCACTGAGCTAAATCCCCAGCCCAAATGTGCCTTTTTAAAAGGTGACTTTTCAAAAATGTTTTGTATTCTAAATAGGAGCTTTTACTAATATTGGTACTTGGAAAAATTGATTAATGCAGCATGAAAATTTTTGTAGTGTAGTTCTTAGATTCAAACCTTTATCTTCCCATTATTGTTTGTAAGATGCTGAGCAAATTATGTTGTGGAACTGTTTTACTTTCTTCATCTATAAAATGAGATCATATGTTTTTGTTAGAATTTAATGATAACATATAAAATAGCAAATGCCACTGTTTACTTCTTGAATTGCAAAATAATGCAAATAATACTCTGAGAGTGGAGAGTTTGGCATACATGCCAATTGTGTGTTGTTATATGTAAGTCTGGAATGGAGGTCCTAAAACAGTTTGCTTGATAAATATTTGTACTGAAACAGATTGACTAATTATTTGTACTGCAAAGTGCTAGTGAAGATGATAACATCAAGGCTTCATAATGATCACACAAGTTTTTAGAACTAGTCAATAGCCCATTAAATACAAGATGAGCATACTTGTTGCAGTAGAGGAGACCACAGGTTTGCTCTGAGAGAGCAGAAGGGGCTAGGGGAAAACTCATTGCAAGCTTAGACTTGTTTCTAGAGAATACAAAGATCAAACTCTTGCTTCTCAGACATTTTTGCCTGAGATGAGAGATACTGACATCATTTGGGAGTTTGTTAGATCAATTTCAGACTCACCTTTGAGTTACTGTTTATTTCGAGAAGATCCCCAAGCCAGTTGAAGTCCAACAAGCTTTTCTCCAAACCACCAGGAAACTATAGTATTAATTATTTTAAAAAATAGCCCCCTGGAGTGTCAAACTGAAGACAAATGCAGATGCGAAGTACCAGACTTCCCTTGGTAGTGATCCTTCTGAAGCCATGCCTAAAACCAGTGATAGCACAAACCACATTTGTGTTCTGAAATCATTGAAGATTAAAGCTGATGACAGTACCTTTATAGTGTCTTATCAAATCACAATCAGCTCTGATTTCTTATTCACTATTAAACTTTTTTGTATGTAACACTTCTTTATGTAAAAAGAATTCTTTTGAGTCATTAACATGTTTGCTATTGAGCTCCAGTGTGCGCACGAGTGAGTGAATGTATTTACCACAGAAAGAAATAATTTTCTTACATTTATTGTTCTTCTTACCACTTGCTTCATTTCTAATCTACCTCTTGAATATTTTTACTTTCCCTAAATTGGGTTTGTTATTTAATAACAACTTTGGCTTTGTATATAGATTGTTGGGGAACTTGTGGACCCAGGCTTGACTTAGAACTTGGAGGTATAAAGTTGCCTATGAGACTCCAGACCTTCTCTGGCTGTTCTTAAAATTAAAAGTACTGTAATACTGAGCTGTAACAGTGGTATTATTTTTGACAACCAGCAAGAGGATTTCACTTTTAATAGAAAGCATTCCCAAATAGCCTACTCTGCACATGCCCTTATTGGTCCCATTTCTCTATTGTGCAGTCCTTTAATTCCTGTATAACTTTTTAAATTTACCTGAGAAATTGACCTCTAAAGAAAGAAGGTAATACTTTAACCATTTTGGGGATTACATAATTGTTCTTTGGTTCTAATTCAGTTTCTGCCAGATAGCATTTTCAAACATTTTCATAGGAGATTTGATAGTGGTTGGTTCTGTTCAGCTCTCTTAAATTCTTTAGCTGTTAGAACAGATTAAACCTAGCAGGGTGAATGTGGAGACAACAGTTTCTAAGATGATGATACACATAATAATATTTAGGATCTGGGCTTCAGCCATGAGAGATTCTAGGGCCTCTGGAGTCAGGTGGAGGGAAATGGAGAAAGATCAGCATTGAAGCCATTGACATATCCATAGGTATCTCGTCAGAGCTGTGTGCCAGGTGTTGAGAGCTTGGGTAAAATGAGTACAGGAAAAGAGCTCTAGGTGATAAAGAGGTTACCAAAGATCCTGGACTAAAATCAGTCTCTCTCTTGTGTAGTTTGTTTCAAAATACAGTACTGTTATTTCATTAACTGTCTCATGCTGGTTAGGTTCCTGGTGGTATTTTTATGTAATGATTGGGATTCTTAGTAGTTTGATGATATCCTAGAAATCTGGTAAGTACTGAATACCTTGTCTTATGTTTTGGTCATTTAATTGGTAAAATATTAGTTTGTGTTATTGAATTACCTAATTCAAAGCAGGTTTTTGTCGTTGTACATTTATTTTGTATTTTTCTTTAAAAATCTTAAACTTCATGAAGTAAACATTTCTTATGCTGTTTAGCATCTCCATCAAATTAGTTACTGAATGTAGTTATTTGGAAGGGAAATTCCTTAATTTTATTTTAACAAAGTATATTTCTTATATGCTTTATCAGGTACTTTAGGCATTTTAATTTGAAAATTTAGGATAGTGTGCTTTAATTTTTCTTCACTTTTTGAATTACACTTTTAGATATAATCTCCATAAAATATTTATTCCCGAAACAGAGAGCAAAACCCACAACTAATGGTCACTGGGGAAACAGTTATTAAGCACTAAGATCCTAATGGTATTTTAAGATTACAAACTTTCCACAGTTTGTTTGTTTGGAAACAGGGCTCACTATGTAGTTGAGACTGACTTGGAACTCACTATGTAGCCCCCAGGCTGATCGCGAACTCCCAGCAATCCTCCTGACTCAGCCTCTCGAGTGCTGAGATTATAGGCATGTGCCACTACACCTGGCTTTTCTGCAGTTTAAAGTGTGTGCATTTATTGATCACTTAAGGTTTTTTAATACTGATTTTTGGCCTACTGTTCAGTTGTTTATAATACTAACATATACGGTTATCTATTTCTCCTTTCTGACAAGCACAGTTATACTTAAGAAGATAAGAATCCCCAAATAGTTTCTTATAGGGTTAATTCTTGGATTGTGACTGAATTTTAGTTTTTTGATACTATAATTGCAGTTCACGAGTCAATGTTGATGTCATGGAAACCTTGATTTTTAATTTTATTGTCATGATGTTTCAACCAGAATAAAATGTTTAATGTAAATCATCGTTACTACAAACATTTAAATATAAAGTCACTGTGATAAGTTTATTTTTCCTTTCTTAAAGCAGTTTGTCCTGAATTTCCATACGTTTGCATTTGTTTTTGCTGTTCTAAAATTCCTTAGTTGCTGGCTTTGACCTTTTATGTTGCTGAGTTTTATACATCTATTTTCTCACCTACCATATCCTAGGGGGCTTGGAGTACCCATAATACAGTGAGCCCACCTTCCTGGTCCCCAGACATTTCAGAAGGTCGGGAAATTTTTAAACCCAGGCAGCTTCCTGGCAGTGCCATTTGGAGCATCAAAGTGGTAAATAAAATTGCATTTACATTCATGTATCATTTCTTTCTGGTTTGTTTTGTCCTATTGGATGTTAAGAAGTGAAACTTTGTGGACTAAGTTTCCAGAGCCACTTTTTAAATCTCAAAATTTTAGTGTAAAGAAGTAACATGCTTGATTTAGAGATTTTGACTAGGAGGAAGTTAAATCACAATTTTACAAGTATAAAATTTTAATACCTGCTTTTAGGGTTGATTTCTTTGTCATTTTTTTTTACCAGTGTTTCTATGAGGAGAAAAATCTTTGTCATGTAGGTTAAAAAGGTAATTAGGGACTTGCTTATGTATGATATGAAATAAAATGCTGCTTGGAGAAGAGAAAAACTTAGTGGAGTAAGAATATCAGAACTGCAGCATATTTCATTGTGTGTATTTACCTCTCATTTGTAGAGATTTTTTTTTGTCATTTGTGGATGATTCTCTTAGTCCTTTACGTAAGTAGATTAATAAATTTTGAAGGGGAAAATTTAATTTGAAAAAGTAGTAATCATCTCAAAAGTTAAAATACTTTGTTGACTAGAGAAGTAATTTTGTCTGTATTTAATATAATTCTGGAATAAGGCTGTAAATATTTGTTTTAATATTTTAGAATACGGTATACTCATTTTAAGAATATAAAAGGTGACTAAGTTGATGGTTTTATAGGAAATACCACCCATCTTAATTATATCTGTATCATTGCATATTAGGGCAAATTGAGAGATTATTGTAGGCTTGATATTTATTTATTTAACTTAAAAATATTTTATACCTTTTTAAAAATTATCAAAAGAAAACAAAACAGCCTATCCAGTCTGTCCCTTGTTCATAAAAGCTGACAGACCTCTCAAAGGACTTAAAGGAGAAGAGGGTAAGAGGAGACAAGGAGAGACCTTTTGAAAACAACAGGGACGCAAGAGTCTCCCTTCTCTTTGATTCTTTTTAGCACAGTGCAGCCATGTATTTTTGGGGGGTGGGGGTAGGATATTGGGAATCAAACTCAGGCCCTTGCCTCTTGCAAGGCAGGTGCCGGAACCACTGAGCTAAATCCCCAGCCATATGTATTTTAGAACTGAAAACTGTTTTTGCTAAATGGGATAAGGTCACTTCTCAAACTCTGTTACATGGTGTCAGTTGAAGATATAACATCTTACTTTGTTAGAGGAAGCACCTATTTTCCTGATTATTCAGTGATTTTTAAGTATATAATGGGTCTACTTGTGCCACGTCTCCCCTCGAAAGAATACATCTCAGTGTAAAGATGAGAAAAACAAAACTCAAAGGATGTTTGTACTTGCATCTTAAAAATATCAGGGAATTTAATATGTTTCCCCTTAAGATTTTTCTCTTATGTTCGATACAGAGTCAGATAAATCATTCCTATTTCAGGTATTTATTATCCAGTTTATTTAAAGCAAGAGTTTTAGTCTTTTTGTCATTTTGCCCAAAATCAGTTTTTTCTGTAAATACTGGGGTAGAACGAGGCAGGAATGTTTAGTTTGTAAGGCTACTATTTGTTAATAGATGAAATTGACTTTTAACAATAGGCCCCTTCTTCATTCTCTTTTATACTAGCAAAAATTAACTGATACAATGTAACAGCACAGAATAGATGTTAAAAAGCAGAGAATGGAGTCAGACTTGCGAGCTCAGTGCCTTGGACAAGTTACTTAAACTTGTTATTCCTCAATACATTTATCTCTAGAATAGGGATAATAAAACAGTATCTACCTGTATTCTGTGGGTATATTGAGAGTAACAAGTGTTTAGGATCAGTACATAGAAAGTATTCTGTAAATGTCAGCTATTACAGTAATCCCTGAGCAACCAATTAGTAAGAGTTCTTTATACTTGATTTATATTGAATACAGTTTGTTGCAAATTGAAATGTCTAAATTGGGTGTGGTTATTCTAGCCATCTAGAACATAGAAATATGAATTTTAAAATAATGACAAGGCCAGATGATGAATGCATTAATTGATTCAGAGATTATACACATTTTATATTTCTATTTTAAGTTGTAGAGTACATATTTAAAGATACAAATAAAAAACTTGGTTCCCTGGTATGCAGCATCTAATCAGAATAAAAGAGAGAAGCTTGTATTTGTGTTGACATTTAATAAAATCTTTTATATCATTGACATTTGGATGTAAAATTCTGCTGGGCTTTTATAGAGTGCTGACTGCCCTCATCTATTACATAGGGCCGTGGCTCCGGATTTCCAGGAAAACGGAGACCTCGAGGTGCAGGGCTGTCAGGACGAGGCGGCAGAGGCAGATCCAAACTAAAAAGTGGAATTGGAGCTGTTGTGTTGTCTGGGGTAAGGCTTTACTTATATTTGCTAATGGTCTTTACATGTCAGTTAATGATGAGAATCTTAGGTGTAGCAAGTTATTTCTGTGTGAAAAGTCACATCAATAGAGTGGTTGTTTTAAATTTTACTAGATCTGCTTTTTTGTTGTTTTATAATCTGTCTCTGATCAAATTTTTGTTTATTACACTTTCTACTTTTTCTTTTTACTTTTCTTTTGGACTCTTTCTATGCCAACCTTCCCCCAGGAGCTGATATGTAACATACTTGTTTTATTTGAGGGAAAAAAAAAATCAAACTCTTGTTACACCTTGGATCTGTTTGAAAATATTTTTAGATTGACATTTTAATTTTTTTACGTTAGTTGTGTTAGTTGTTATTAAGGTTTAATTAAAGAAGAGCAACTAGAAAGGTTGCAGATTAATACGGAATCCAAACATGTTAAAGATTGAGTGAATATCTTCATATTTTAAGATGGATAAATATTTACTCATAATATTATGACACTCTTTAAAGGTATATTGATAAATATTGACAAATATTTTTATGTAGTGACATTACTAATTTATTTCACTGAAATACTATTTTTCAGACTAAATATTAAATTCAAGAGACAGGTGAAATTACTCAATTTTACTACTATAGTGAGAGTAAGGGTGACATGAGTTCTAGCCTTTTTTAAACAAAGGCAAAACAAGGCCTGTTGAGGAACAATTAATATAATACAACCTACAAATACTTGCAATGCACAAGTTTTGGCTTCTGTACACCCTTGAAAACTTCACCATGATTAAGATAGTGAAAATCTGCCAGTATTTCTTCAGGACCCCTTGCCACCCTCAGCCCTCATCCTTGATCATCCCAGGCAGTGGCTGACCTGTTTCCTTCACTAAAATTAGTGTGAATTTTCAGTAGCTGCATATAAGTTGTATTATATAGAATATATTCTTTAAGGTCTAATTTTTCTCATTTAATATTAATATTTTGAGAGTCATTATGTTGCTGTATATGTTAGAAGTTTATTCTTCTTTGTAGTTGAAAATAGTATTTATACTGTGGATGCCCCACAATTTATGTATCTATTCTGCTGGAAAATATTATGGTGGCTTATAGTTTTCGGCTATTAGAAATTAACCTGCTATGAAATTCTATCTGTGAACTTTTATATAGACATATGATTTCTTTTTTTTTTTTCCCAGCAAATATCTAGGACTAAAATGAGTGGCTATGATATGTGTGTCACTAGCTTTTATGGAAAAGCCTGTTTTACATTTTGATTGTATCGTTTTATATTCATAATAAGAGTGCTGGAGATTCCCAGTTCCTCCACATGTTTAGCAACATTGGATATGGTCATTCTTTTTTTTTTCCCTCATTGAGTTTATTGATACATTTTAGGTATACAGTACAGTTACATTCATTATTGGGATCTTGTACCTTTACATGGCAGGTTTTTTTTTTTAATTTATTAATTTTATTGAGTTTATTGGTACATTTTAGGGATACAGTACAGTTACATTCATTGTTGGGATCATGTACCTCTACATGGGAAGTCTTGAGACAGGTTTTGATTCTCATTTTTTTCCCTTGTCCCTGCCCTCCCTTCACCCCCTCCTCCCCTCCCCATTTAAAATATTTTATTTCCATTTTTTCATTTTCTCCTATTTGTTGGATATGGTCATTCTTAATGTTAGCCATTCTGATTAGGATGTAATAGTATTTCATTTCTATTCCCTAATGATGTCCATTTTTAATATACATATTTGTTTATCTGTTTCTTGATATAGTCAGTCACTCTTCAAATGTTTAGCCCATAAAGTTTGGGTACTTTTTAATTAATTGAGTTTTGAGCAGTCTTTTTTGTGGGGGAGCTGGGGATCGAACTTGGGACCTTGCACTTATGAGGCAGGTGGTACAACCACTGAGGCTAAATCCCGGCCCTAGTTTTGAGCATTCTTTACATATTCTGGACAAATGCTTGGGTTTTTTTTTTCCTTTGGTTTTTTGAAACACAGTTTCACTACATAGTGCAGGCTGGCCTTGAATTTGCTGTGTAGCCCAGGCTGGCCTGAACTTAAGGCCATCCTCCTGCCTCAGCCTCCCGTGTGCTGAGATCATAGACGTGCTTCACCACACCCAATTAATAGGAATTCTAGAAGAGGTTTTTCTGTCAGCTCCCCTCCCATCCCTTGTAAATCTAAAGACACAACTAGATGAATAAAAAGAACCATGCTTCATAGTTTTACTATAGTATTGTCACACTAGTAATATAATTTGGAATTGTTAGTGTAGATGTTGGCAAAAAGTTATATTTTGAATAATAATTTTCTGAAACTTTCCAGTTAAATGTAATTAAAGTAAGAAGTATAATTTGATATTTGGTATATTTTGCCTTTTGTAGGTGTCTGCTGCAGATATTTCTTCAAATAAGGACGAGGAAGAAAACTCTATGCACAATACAGTTGTGTTGTTTTCTAGTAGTGACAAGTTCACTTTGCACCAGGTTTGAAATTAATACTTTGAAATTCTTCCTTGTCCATTTTTACTTTCCCCATATGCACATGTATCATATAATTTGGCTAGAGAACTATATTAGTCAAGAAAGTATTTTAAAAGTAAGAATTATATGTTCTTACCTTACTCTCCAGTTCATAATAGGTTCATGTGTTCTTAATTCCAGGATATGTGTGTGGTTTGTGGCAGTTTTGGTCAGGGAGCAGAAGGAAGATTACTTGCTTGTTCCCAGTGTGGTCAGTGTTACCATCCATACTGTGTCAGTATTAAGGTAAATATGCTTAAATTAAATGTGTTAACAGAAGTGTACTGAGCTTTGCTTTGAATTGATATAGTCATGTGGTCTGCCCAGCTCTTAGAGTTAATCAGCTGTTCCTTATGATGTATTACACATGTGTTACAGTATTTACTTTATTGCTTCTATAGGTTAACTAAAAAAATTAATTTCTCTCCAGGTGTGCTAATGCACACCTGTAATCCCAGTCCTTGGGAGGCCAAGGCAGGAGGATCGTTCAAGGCCAACCTGAACTACTTAGCGAGACCCTGTCTCAAAAAAAAAAGAAAAAAACCAAAAAAACAAAAAACCCCCCAAAATAAAAAAAAGATACCAATTAATCTACCATTGTCTTAAAAAAGTAAGACAAAAATATATGCATTTAATTTTTAAAATAGTGCTGCTTAGAACTCATTTGTTTCTGCTTACAGCTAAAAGAAACAAATGCCATGTTTAATACACTTCCATAAAAATAGCCTGCAATACTGAGCTTCAAGTTTTCAAGGTAGAGATGTAGTAGGGAACCTTTTACGTGGTAATCTTGTACTTGATTTTAAAATTATATAAATATATATATGTCTTAATTAGTACTTCAGTTGCTGAACTTGGGTGTCTGTTTTCTTGCTAAGAACTTAGTTTTAATAAACGTATATTTAAATAAAGTAACATAGTCTCTGAATTCAGTATGGTGGCATCACTGTATGGTAGAGGTCCTGCTGTGTACTCCATGACTAACTCTTTTCTGGTGCTTCCATGCTGTGTGGTATAAGCAAGAACTTTAGCTCCTTGGTCCTGAATAATCCTGAACTTACAAATCATCTTTGTCTCTTCTCTTTTGCTTTTTTGGGCATCATCACATTATATCATTGTTTACCCAGGATGTCAATATAGGAAACAAATCAACTTACATTCTCTGAGAATTCCTTTCTGATAACTACACTTTCTTTCCTTGGGTGGTACACACTTTTGTAAATTTAGAATCAAAATGAAAAATTACAATTACTATCAAAATAGAACACTAGTGCAGTTAATTTATTTGAAAATTTGTTTCTCACAGCATGTTGACTAAAGTCAAAACATAGATTATGTAAAGCCATTTTCGAAAGCATTATATATGCACAGGAGGACAAAGTTTGTTTATTGTTTATATCTTCTAAATTCTCTTTAATTGCATACAGATATTTCTGATCTAAGGAAATTGAAAACCCTTTTAAGATGGGAATAGAAGTTCTATGAGCCTAACTAATGCCTTAATATGAACAGCTTTTGTTAACTAAAATTGATAATAGTTTTAGGAAGGAAGTTAACATTTAATGCTCAGAACGGTGTGCATTTTTTATAACACATCTGATACTTAATTCCCCTTTTACAGGTAAACTGAGTGAAGCTTACATTGTTAAGACCTGTTAATGCACTGCTCAATAACTAGTTACTGAACAGAGCTAGAATTTAAATTCCTATTTCACTAACTGCATGTAGTTCCTTTAGTACTACTGACTCCATTCTGGACAGTACAAAAATACTGTAGCCTTATTGATTGAGAGATATAGAACATCCACAAGTATACTAGTAATATGAGAGCTGTCTATCCTAGTTGTTGTGGTAGGCAATTATTTAAAAAGTTGGCCTTTTTGAAGCTTCCTTTTAGTCTTTCTCGGGTAGGTCCAGAGAACCTTTCTTCTAAGCTGGTTATTCACACAGTTTATAATTGTTTTTTCCCCCCTTGGTACCGGGGATGGAACTCAGAACCATTGATAGGCAGGCATGGTGCCACTGAGCCACATCCCTCCGCCCCACCCCTTTTTGAGACAGGGTACTTCTAGGCAGTTCAGAGTGGCCTTGAATTCACAGTGATCCTCCTTTCTCAACCTCCCAAGTGCTGTGTTTACAAACGTGCCAGCACCATGGTCTTAAAGTGTAACACTGTCTAAAATTATATAATGAGTTTTTGTTTGGAGGATTGTGACCATTGAATATTGAACCATTTTAGAATTTAAAATGGTACATTTTATAGCAAGAATACAGATGCATAATTTGTATGACGGCAGTGTTGACATCATGTAGCCTCTGAAAAAGACCACTAAGCAATTGTGAGTGAATCTGTGCCAATGACATATGATATCTTAGTAGTAGAATGAAATTGGTTTGACCTCCAGAATACCCTTAAGGACTGCTGTTTTAGCACAAGTTTGCCTTATATTTTGGCCAATGGCCTTTCTGGGTTTCTATTGAATCCTACCAGTGCTTTCCTACTCTTGACTAGTAGAGGTTCGCATGTCTTCCAGCCATATAAGACCTCTGGTAATTGTTCACCTTACATATTGTAGGTAAATAGTCTTTCTCCTGGTTGCAGATCTTTGTGCTAACTTGTAGATATGCAGCTTGGGGTTCAGCTAGGGACTTCAGATTATTCCTTTGTGGATTTCTAGAGATCTTATTGATCACTTCTTTTCCTGCACTGTGTCCTGTGAATTCCAGCTGCCTTATCTTTTGTCAACTCTTGTCATATCTTCTCAACTCAGTGAGACCTTTATACTGGAGTTCTCCTTCCCTGGCAACTTTCTGGAAGGTTTTGTAGATACTTTTTCACAGAACTCAGACATTTCCATCCTCTCAGAGATCACAGTCCTGTACTTCATGATTTCCAGTATCTGAAAACAGTTGTTTCAAAGTTTTTCCCAGTTTTCTGGTATCTTATGATGGAAGAAAGGACTGGTCCCACTTAATCATAGTGGGAGTAGATATACTTTGTAGATTATAAAACGCATCTGCCACAACTTTAGACACTGTGCTGTAGATGGAACCCAAGGAACTTTGTAAAATTAAGATTAAACCAGGCTGGGCTGGGTCACTTTTGTCAGTCATCCCAACATCTGGGAAGCCAAGGTCTCGAGAGGATCACAAGTTCAAGCCTCTGCTGGATAACTTAATCTCTTAATGCAACCCAGTTTCAAAATAAACACATTATAAAAGGGCTGGGGATGTAGCTCATTACAAAGGTCCTAAGTTCAGTCCCAAAATTAAACCAGTTCTGAAAAAGAAAAAATAAATTAAGAGTAGAGCACTATTTTCCAGAGTAAGAGAGTGTCATAGAGAAGTTGGATTTTGGGGAGTAGGGGCATACCAGGGATTGAACTTGGGACCTTGTGCTTGCAAGGCAGGTGACAGCACCACTGAGCTAAATCCCTGTCTCTGGAGAATTGTTTAGATATTGAAGTACTCTAGAGGTAAAAAAACATGCAGACACTATCCTAAAATGCTGGATTTGGAAGTCAAGCTGTCTGTGCTGGCTGGAGCTATTTCAGTGTTTGTGGGCATAGAAACCCAATGAAGCACTGTGGAGAGTGAAAATAAATTCTCTCTTTTTTTTCTTGGGCGGGTACCAGGGATCAAACTTGGGTCCTTGAACTTGTGAGGCAGGCAGCAGAACCACTAAGCTAAATCCCCAAGCTTGTTTAGGTAGATTAAGAATTGCGCTTTCAAAAGTATTTTCTCATAGAATTTGAAAACCAAGTCTATTCTGGTGCCTGAGGTTTAAGGAAGCTTGATGCTATTCATGCTATTCTGATAGCTGTTCCTTTGAATTCAACTCTTTATTTTCCTTTCTGGTGGTTTTTAGGCTTTCTTACTCCCCCATGATCTGAGTTTCTACTCTGTGGTTTAATTCTTCTTACTTCATTGTGACTTGGGTATTTAGTCTTTCGAAGTCCTTCAATTCTACTCTGTGGTTTAATTCTTCTTATTTCATTGTGACTTGGGTATTTAGTCTTTCGAAGTCCTTCAGGAGTTCCAAATTCATAAGATGTGCCTTTCTGAGGAATTGATCAGGAATATAGAGATTATTAAAAATTTACTAACTCAAACCTTTGAGACAGGAAAATAAATAGAAGCGTGAAGGTGAACTTCAGAAGTCCTAGCTTTTATATCTTGAAACTTGTCCAAGACCTAAAATGTCCTAGTGATCTCCTTTTATATTGAGTTTTTTGTTTTTGTTTTGTCTCAGTTGTTCCTGTGAATTATAATAGATAAGTCCTTGTGCCATGTACCCAAGTTTCAAAAGCATGAATTCATGCAAGTGTCATAGATTGTAGCCTTTGGTGATGTACTGCCAAATCCCATATCAAGTAATGAGGCTGCTTACTTATTTAAAATCCACTCACCACATGTACAAAAAAGTACAGTATTTATTTACAGAATGTCACCTACAGTGCAGGGTAGTTATGTGAACTAAAAATGACATTAAAATATATACTGTTTTCAATTACTCTGTTGAAACAAGTAGGCTCCTGAAAGTACATGGGTGTGCCTTACCTGTATTGGGGCCACTAATGTTTGTTGTTTGCCTTTTTGCTTCTAGTTGCATACATACCATATTAACTTATGCAAAATGAAGTCTCAGTATATAAATCACATGGATCAGTTGTTTCTTTTGCAGATCACTAAAGTGGTTCTTAGTAAAGGCTGGAGGTGTCTGGAGTGCACAGTATGTGAAGCCTGTGGAAAGGCGACTGACCCTGGGAGACTGCTGCTATGTGATGACTGTGATATAAGTTACCACACCTACTGCCTAGACCCTCCACTGCAGACAGTTCCTAAAGGCGGCTGGAAATGTAAATGGTACTCTAGCCTTTGTTGCTTTGTCAGTCTTCCAAGTTTAGAAATTTCTTATATGACTTTAGTTTTTAAAAATTAGCCATGTATGTTTTAACTACATAATACACATTTGCTATGATAGCTATTACCAGTCAGAAAATTTCACATATTAAATGATTTCCCCTTAATCTATTTAAGTGTAGCTTCTAGAATTACAGTAACCAAATAAGTAAATAAAACTGACACTTTGGGGTGGGGTTTGGATTTCAGGTGTGTTTGGTGCAGACACTGTGGAGCAACATCTGCAGGTCTGAGGTGTGAATGGCAAAACAACTACACACAGTGTGCTCCTTGTGCCAGCCTGTCTTCCTGCCCGGTCTGCTATCGAAACTACAGAGAAGATGATCTGATTCTGCAGTGTAGACAATGTGATAGGTATTGTACCTGCACCCGCCTCTACAGTTGTTTGCAAGCTTTTTTTTTTTAAACTGCAAGTATAGTCAAAGGAACTTAGACCATAACCTTCCTGATCATAAAGCTCAGGAATAAAACCTGTTGCTTTTAATATTTTTAGTCAAGTAGAAACCTCTGTGATTTCTTGTTTTAAACTCACAGTTCTAAAGATTTTTAACTGGGGGCTGTTTGAAGATTTATGAATCTTTTGGAAGTAGACGCAAAATTATTGCCTGTATAAATACATTTTCTTTACTATAGTTTTAAAATTATCTTGCATTCTGTTTCTTAAAGCTCTGATATTAAATATCTATGATTTAGATGCTGTCTCTTGTTCTTCTTAAGTAGTAATGTGTGTGTAGCATCAAAATCAAGAATGTTTTCTTTGATTGTGTTGGTGCATTACTGTGCCCTATTAGCAATTAAGCAGTATATACATAATATTAACAGTGTTAGTTCATATTAATGCTTTATTCCTAGGATTCTGTTTGCAAACAAGATACCTCTGTCACTTTATTCCCTAATAACTGTTCAACATCAGTTTATAAGAGTCATATCTAGCCAGGTGTGGTGTCAAACACCTGTAATTCCAGAACTTGGGAGGCTGTGACAAGTTCAAGGCCAACCTTGGCTACATAGTGAGTTCAAGACCAGCCTGAACTACATAGCAAGACCCTGTTTCAAAAAAAGAAGAAAAAGTTATACCTTCTTCAAATTATAGGCAACACATAGAGCACATACTGTGACATTTGTAGTTTTTTAAATTTGTTCCTTCTTGCCCTGACTAGCTTCATTTCTCTTTGATACATTTAATATATGATCAAAAATAATTATTATGTCCTCCTCAAGTAATGTGTACTTGATTCCTTGTCCATGTTCTCATCCTTTTCCTTCTTAGCCTTATGAAAGTCCTAGAGGGTCAAAAGGGAATAGTTAGATTGGTTAGACAGTAGGGGAAGATGAGGCTTCTGGCTTTTAAGTTTGAAGCTGTTAATTCCTGTTAGAGTTTATAAAAGTAAATGCTTCTCAATATACTCAGTTTTTAAAAATGTACAAATATTATCTCTTTAGATGGATGCATGCAGTTTGTCAAAACTTAAATACAGAGGAGGAAGTGGAAAATGTAGCAGACATTGGTTTTGATTGTAGCATGTGCAGACCCTATATGCCTGTATCAAATGGTAAGAATGATTTAAACTATGAGTCTGTGTTATCCTACAGTGCTCATGCACCTTCCTGTCCACAACCAATGAGTGGGCTTAATTTTGCTTCTTTTCTTTGTGAATCTTGTTTGGACAGGGATTTTGTGGCAAATGGGTTTTTTGTTATAATTTTGATAACTTTAATTACAAAAAGTAATTACAAAAAGAAAATGAACTGTATATTTTAGTTGTAAAATATAGTGTTGTTTGTAAGGAACATGCCGTCTTGTTATTAGCAATGTGTAGAAATTCAATACACTGCTTCTTTCTTTGACAGTTTTTCCTCCTTGATTTGTATAGTTCCTTTGCCACTTCTACTTGTGATTTATTCTTGTTTTAAAAACTGTTTAATTATATTTGGTTTTCAAGCATTTATTTCAATGAGTACTGAAACTGAAAGTTTAATCATATGTCTTTAATAATTTTTTCCTGAAAAATTTACCTGAATTATTTTCATTCCAGTGCCTTCCTCAGACTGCTGTGAATCTTCACTTGTAGCACAAATCGTCACAAAAGTAAAAGAGCTAGGTAAAATCTGAAATGCTTTACTTGACTATTCTTTAGAGAAAGCATTATGAATGATCAGTTTTTTCCACATTTTATGTAAAATAGGCCTTGTCATATGGATGTTTATTGTAAATTCCCTGATATTAATAATTTTTATAGGTGAAATATAAAATGTTCATCTTGTCTAGTTTTACTTGAACAATATTCCTATAAATTTTAGCAAATAGCCAGTGAAAATTAGCAGCTCTTAAAAAAATAGTTCATGCCATATTTGCTTTGGCTTCATTGATACCCCATTCTGTGTAGTTATTAGCAGAAAAGAAAGCCTTGCTGACAAATTCCTTTAGAAGTACAGTACTGTATTTTAGTCTCTCCATGTGTTTTGTATAACCGCCTAGAATGGTGATTAATATGATGCTTTTATAGGCGTTCTTCTGACTATCTGCATTTGATAATCATCTAACAGAAAAACATTAGGATAGTACAGGAATTGTTCTAATGAACAGCAATTTTATACATTAAAAATTCAATCTGCAGCATTTATAAGTACTTATCCCTTGTAAGCACGTTTATTGACACTGGTTTTCAGCTAGCTTTGTAGAGTATTCTTGCATCTCTTATATTAATTCATCCTTACCTCTTGTTCTTTTTAAAGAAAAGGTTCATAGTTGAAAGACTGATGTATTGCTTTAAGCTTCAATGCTTTCTTTCTAAGTCCTTCCTTGTGATGCATGAAAATAGACATGACAGGAAGACCAGTTTTTAAAAACATGCAGTCTTGGGGCCAGAGATTTAGCTCAATGGCTCCAGCACCTGCTTGACAAGCACAAGGTCCTGAGTTCACTCCCCAGTTCCGGAAAATAAACAAAAAACAAAACAAAACAAAAAAAAAACATGCAGTCTTTTGCCTAAAGTACAGAAAAGTTTAGGCATCATTATGTTAATTATTCATATGTTTCATAGATAGTTTTTCTATGGAAATGCAGTTACATTTCCTTTCACATATGTATTGTGTATTAACAATAACTAATTTACCAGTCAAATTTAGAATGGAAGTTTAAATTTGTATTCTTGGTACCTTTAAAATTTTAGATCCACCTAAGACCTACACCCAGGATGGTGTTTGTCTGACTGAATCAGGGATGACTCAGTTACAGAGCCTCACAGTTACTGTTCCAAGAAGAAAACGGTCAAAACCAAAATTGAAATTGAAGATAATAAATCAGAATAGTGTGGCTGTCCTTCAAACACCTCCAGACATCCAGTCAGAGCATTCAAGGGATGGTGAAATGGATGATAGTCGAGGTAATAGTGATTTGTCATCCTTGGAATATATGTGCAAGAATTAATGTATAAAATAACTTAAAATTTTTATGACTTACAAAGGTAAATCCCTCTGACTTAAACAGCCTGGGATGTGGCTTGTCCCCTTTACTGAGTGATCTTCTTAGACTTTGCCTTTTAAGGTTCATTTGCTTTTATGTATCCTCTTAGGATTCATTTATCTTATAGAAATTTCCAAGGCCCCTGTATATATTACAATCAAAGGTGGGCAAATTCAGAGGGTTGGACTTTAGTTTGCTAGATAGTCGCTTGAGTGTTATAAGCTTGGATGCCACGTTTGAGTTAAAGTAGAATTTGATCTGTGAATTGTAGAAATAGAAAACAATAATTTTGCTTCAAGTGCATATTATATTGACATATACTGAGCATATAAACTATGACTTACATTTTCTTGGTCAAAGTAAATAGAAAAAGGTTATTATAGCTGAGCTATAATTTGAGTAGTAATGTTAAATTCAGTACAAATTATATTTTTGCTTATCTCCAAAGATTGGGACAGGATTGTTTGTTTTACTGTGATTTTTTTTTTCTTTTCAGCTGATTTGGAAATAAAACAATAATTATTTCTGTTCCATTATGTTTCACCATGCAGTAGTACTTATTGAATGTACATTACGTGCCAGATGTCGAAGGATATTAACAGTGAGCAAAGGAAACAAAATCCTTTTCTCATGGAGTTTATATGTATGTCAATGTTAGGATACAAGACTATAAAAAATAACTACACAAAACGTTAACTCTGGTCAAAATGTCAACAAAGGGGGAGTCAGAGGTCCAGTTCAAGCTTGTGCTGGTGGGCAGTGGCAGCACCAGGAAGACCACGTTCGCAAAGGGCCACATGATGGGCGAGTTCAGGAAGCAATACATGGTCAATCTGGGTGTGGAGGTGCACCTGCTGTGCTCCACATCAGCCAGGGTCCCATCAAGTTCAGTGTGGGGGACACAGCCACCCAGAAGTTCACCGGGCTTCTCAACAGCTGCTACATGCAGGCTCACTGTGGTGGTACCATGTTTGACATGACATCAAGAGCTAGCTGCAGGAACTTGCCTAACTGACATAGATATCTAGTGTGAGTGTGTAAGAACATCCAATTGTGTTGTGTGGCAACAAAATGGACATTAAGGGCAAGAAAATGAAGGCAAAATCTGTTTTCTTTCACCAAAAGAGGAACCTTCAGTACTATGATATTTCTGCCAAAAGTAACTGCAACTTTGAGAAGCTCTTGTTCTGTCTTGCCAGAAAGCTTATCAGAGAACAGAACTTGGAGTTTGTCACCGTGCTTGCTTTTGTCTCACCAGAGGTTGTCATGGATCCAATGTTGGCAGTACAATCTGAACATGATTTAGAGGTAGCTCAGATCACTGCTGTCATAGATGAGGTTGATGACCTGTGAGGCAGTGTAGTGGGAGCCCGGCATCAGACGTCTAGTTTTATACGAACTGTCCTGAGTGAATGTGGCAGTTAAACCTTCATGTTTTGGACCTGCATATTTAGCTGTTTACAACACAGTTGTTTGCTTTTTGAGTTTCAAATATAAACCTTTAACTCAATCATGTGTTTAGCAAGTGCTAGGGAAAAAATTAGAGACTACACAGAATTAACAGTATAGGACAGTAACGTTGTGGGGTCAAATGAATGGAAAGTGATATTTAAGCATAAACTTCAAGGAGTTGAGTATATGAGCCCTTTGAGTACCTGATGACAGAGCATCCCAGATAATGAGAAAGTCAGGGCAGAGGCCCTGGAGAGAACATACATAGCACATGTGAGGAATGCTGTGATGGACCACTGTATTCGGCAGAATGACTTATGGGACAGTAGGAGCCAGTGAGGTCACAGGTGTGAGGAGGGGGGATAGGGGTGAGATGAAGGTTATGGTGTTGGTGGGGTCAGTGTCAGATCTGATACTTTGGGGAGTTTGAACTTGACAGAGTGGAATGAGGGTGAGGGTTATTGGGTGTTTGTGAAGAGAAGTGCATACTGCCATTTGTACTGTAAGAGGATTGCTCTGCTGCGACATGTAGACTATCAGATATGAGAGTTGTGTTGGCTAGGCCTGTAGTCCTCAGGTAAGAGATAACTGTGGCTTAGAGAAGTTGTATCTTATAAAGTCCTGGTAATTTAGCATTTAATTTTCATGTTTTTCTTTTGTAATAGTGTGGTTTTAGGTTTGTGTTCTTATGAGAAAAGATTTGTGGTGGGTTATATATAACTGCTTTTTGAATAGTGAATTTGATTTTGAAGTTTAAAGTAGAATTAGAGGTTGTGAAGAAATAGCCCATATGTTTAGAAGGAATTGATCCAGATAAGCATCAGCCAAATTTTTGAATAGTGAATTTGATTTTGAAGTTTAAAGTAGATTAGAGGTTGTGAAGAAATAGCCCATATGTTTAGAAGGAATTGATCCAGATAAGCATCAGCCAGAACACATGGAAGAGGTTTAGTTTCTGATGACATTAAAGCTTGTGCAAAAAAGGATTTCATCCTAAATCACTTAAATGTGGGAAATGCTAGATTTTACTAAATATGAGAAGTTCTTGATAGTACACATTATTTTCCAAATTCTGAGATTGTAGAATCGTCTAAAACAAAGACTTTTTGAAAGGTTTCCATGCAACTACTATTTGTGGAACAGCACTATGAGAAATTGTGATTTATTTAAATTTTATATTCTCTGAACTCCTGTCAGGTTAACAGAATCAGTTGAAAAATTACTTTTACTTTCTTTGAAACCATTTATGTGGTAAAATAACCCATCTTTAGTTTGATTTACTGTCTTTATTTTATTGAAAATGAAAGAATACGAAAGTCATTTGGTGTGTTAGATGTTGAGAATGTTAATAGACAATTTTAGGATTTTAGCAATTTAGTGTAGTATTACCCTGACTAGTCTCTCATGCTTCTTTATGTCTCAGGATCTCAGATCCTTTGTGAAAGAGAGATAATTTCTGTAGAGGTGAGGTAAATTTGTGTAATTGAAGAGTATTTGTGTTTTTCCATGTTCACTAAATAAAATCCTTTTTAAAATTGACTATTACCACAACTTGCTATCATCAAGATGGAGTTATATACTATAATAAATTCTAAAAACATTACTGATATATTTGGTTACCCACCCTGTGTGGGTCACACATATGTATAGATATACTCCACACACATATTTAAAGTGAGTTTTAGGGTTGTATTACTTTTAAGTATGCTTGTACTTGGTAAAAAATAGAAAAAGAGACTAGTCATCAATTTTTATTATATATAATGCTAAGATTTCTAATAAGACTGCCCTTTTTTGCTACTTTGTGTGAAACCAAGATTCTCCACATTTTAGATTCTGGCTATGTATTGACTTTGAAAAAGAAGCATGATGGAACCGTAGGCAGTGTATTGGCAACTTTGGATGTTTTTAGCCAAATTTTTAACTTCTCTGGAGCTTAGACTTCCCGTTTGTGAAGTACTGCATGTGCTAGGAACAACCCCACAGGGTAATTGTGTTGAAAAGGCTCAGGATGCACTCCAGGTCCTCACCACACGCTTCCCAGATACGGCTGTCTCAGGAACTGTAGACTGTTAGTGTCCAGTCAGTGCTTCCCCAGTAGCTGTTTTCTGTGCCTGACAGAGCTCAGCAGAGCCAAACACTTGTTTCTGTTGTGATGCAAGTTGCACTCCATCTCAATAAAAGGCATTGTCCCTGTTCATGTAAGTGAATATTGAGGTTAGGGGATTGTCTACCAGAATCATTCTCTGAACTGATCTTTACTGTATTTTAAGGTATAGAACAACTGTAATGAAAGCATGTGTAGACTTTCCCCTGTGTATTAGGAGGAGACAGGATGATTTCAAAATTAAATTTTGAAAAGTATTGAATAAAAGTGACCTTGAGCTATACACTTTTCAACTTGAAGCTGTCAGTATGATACAGATCATATTACACATGTCATTTTAGACAAGCATTAGATTCTCCACTGGAGTCTGCAGAGTCCTAATTTAACTTATGGTGGTCTGCAATATTACAATAGATGTGTTTTTAAATTTTCTTTTTGCTTCTGTTGATTTTTAACTTTTATAAGTGCCTCTTAAGACAAGTCATAAATCATTAGCGCAGTGTATCAGAAATGAGTTTCATGTGCAGTAAAAGCAGACTTCTTTTTTATTCACCTGCTGTGATCCAGAAATCCTGTTATGCAAGAAAAATAATCTTATCTCTAAAAAAAAACAAACAAACACTCTGTTCATTGAGAAAGTGAGCTTGGAGGGTATTATAGTAAATTAACCACAAGATGAACTATAATAAAAGTAGAGGGAAATAAATTGGTTTAGAAAGGGACTGAAGAGTCTTGACTTAGGAGTAATTAGGGATTATCATTGCTGGCATCCAGACTTTGTCTTCTTCAGGGTTTGGTTTGTTTTGCTTGTTTGTTTTTAGAAACAGAGTCTCACTATGTAGTCCAAACTGACTTTGAACTCACTATGTAGTCCGCAATATCCTTGAGGCAACCCTCCTGCCTCAGCCTCCTAATGGTTAGGATTACAGGCATGGGCCACCATGCCCAGCTTTCAGGGTGTGTTTTTAATGTCTTGTGATGATCTGGGTAACATAAGAAAGGGAGAAAGTTCATGTTAAATTAGTATATGATTTTGGATAGTTTTCAGTAACTAGGTAATACTCAGTTACCACTGTGGTTGGAGCTATGAACAGTTCAAGGTTACACAGACAGCTTGGAGTCTGGGACTTGGAGACAATGAAGAGTAAGAGAATGATTTGTAAAATGCAACTTGATTGATCATTGTCCTTTTGAGCTCTTTCTCTCTGTGTTCCCCTTACCTCCTTCTTGGTTTGTATCTCTGAGAACATTAAGCATTGTGGTTTCCATGACAGTTTGGGGCCTGTTTGATTTCTTTTTCTGCTTTTGCTACCTGCTCAGATGTACAGTTATGGTAGCTTGGTGGCCCCTTGGCTTTATATTTCCCTTTATTTATGGAATATGTATTTAGTAGACCGCTCCAGTTTTATCTGTACATTTACTTTTTTCCAGAAGCAGAACTTATGGACTGTGATGGAAAATCAGAATCTAGTCCTGAGCGTGAACCTGTGGATGATGAAACTAAGGGAGTAGAGGGAACAGATGGTGTCAAAAAAAGAAAAAGGAAGCCATACAGACCAGGTAAAGTGCCTCAGCTAGAAATACTTAAGCTAATTTAAGAAAAATACATTATTGAGGACTTCAGCTAGGTATGTTAGCACATTCCTATAATCCCAGCTCTTGAGTTGTAGCAGGAGGATTTGAGTTCAAGGATAGCCTGTTTTTCCTATGTACTGTAGGCTATATAGTGAGACCCTGCTCAAAAATAAACCAAAAAACACAAGCATGGTGGCACTCTCTGGCAGCTGAGGTAGGAGTATCTCTGTGAGTTCAAGGACCACCTGTACTACATTGAGAGTGCAGGGCCTGCCTGAGCTGTGTATGGGGACTTAGTCTCAAACACTAATAAAACAAACCTCTCTCCATTTCTACAAATCGAAGACATCAGGACTAAGTGTGACATCTGAAAAACTGTCTGGAATGTTTATGTATATTACAAGTAACTAGACTGTTTGGATATGCTTTTTAGCTGATGGATTTGTTCAGCTGAATATCCTAATACTTCACAGCAAGCCATTATTTAATGTCTTATCCCAAATGTTAACAATTTTATTAAATGCTTTACTAGTTGGTTTTTATTTATAATCTACTTTGAAGCCTTTCATATATTTCCCATCCATATGTACTTCTGTAGTTCTCTTTTCACCACTGACCTTGTGCTATTTTTATGTTTTAAAAACTTGTTACAGTGTTTATGCAAGAGTGTCGGTAAGGCTATAGTGTGAGGTAAACATGACAAGGTCCCATGCCTTATAGAATTTATAATCCAGTTAGTACCACAAATGATTAAACATTTTCTTACTTCTATTTTCTGTAGGAGTAGAGAGAAAAGCTGCTCTCTTTGTCAGATTTTTATTTACCTTATTGGAACAAGTTATTAAAGTGCAGTACAGAAGTTGTAAGCTTTCTTTAGTCTGTTTATTAATGTCTGTAATAAGGCATTAAATTGATATAATCTTGGTTCTCCTAATTTCTCATATTTTATTAAGGGTCTTATAAATCCCTTTTGAGTATCAAGAAGAATTTCTTGCTTTATTTGCATTCTGTAAGTTTCATCTGTAATAAGGACTGAAGATTAGTTTCATCCCAATCACTTCATGAAAATGGTTTCATTTCTTCCTAATTATGAGGTTTACAGGTGCATTTACTTTTTTTTTTAGATATTGCAGATTCTTTGTAGGAACTTTGTTTTGTTGGAGAGTTTTCGTCTTTTGCTTCCTTACATGGAAATCATCCCTTTAATTGGGGCACTTATTAGGTCTCAAAGTATATTATTAGACACCTGTATCATTTGGCAAAAGCTTAGTGTTGACTGTGTGCAGGGGATTATATTAACTAACCACTCTTAAGGCTTATCAGAGAGCTGTGACGCTGAAAAATTACTTGCTCAAATTTAGTAAACAGAATTACATACAGTATTATGTGTCCAGATTTTGTGCTCTCAGCTTGGGAGCTTTGTGTCTTACATCTAAAAGCATTCATAATGTAGAAAACCTAGGCACAGCCTCTAAAGTCAGATTAATCCAGGGTTCTTAGCACCCGGGCCACACAGAGACTGGTGAGGAAAGCTTCATCTGTATTTACAGCTGCTCCAGTCACTTGCCTCACTAGCTGAGTTCTACCTTCTGTCAGAGCAGCAGCTGCCTTATATTCTTTGTAGGGGTGCAGACACTGTAGTGAACTATATGAGTGAGAGATCTAAGTTACACTCTCCCTTGAACCCCGTCTGCATTGTGGAAAAATTATTTTCAAAAAGGTTGGGGACAGCTGTATTAATCAGTTTATACTTTTGTCATACAGATTATTACAGTATACTGTTAATGTACAAGTAACTTGATATTCATAGACAAGCATAATCTGTTAAGTGTTTATTCTGACTTAGTCTAAAAGAGGAAATGCATGGAATTCTTTCTCTACTCTAGAAAATTTTAATTCTTGCTTAGTGACAACAGTAGCTTTAACATTTTTTAAATTCAAAATCTGTCCTATTTTAATAGAAAATTGAGATTATTGATTTAGATTAGGCCAGACTCAATTTGGGAAAATGCCTCAGTGGGAGCAGTTTTACCCTGCTTGCTGTAGAGCTACAGTATAGGGGCAAATTATAATTATTTTTCAATTTATCTAATTTCTTGTTTTGGTTAGGTATTGGTGGATTTATGGTACGGCAAAGAAGTCGAACGGGGCAAGGAAAAACCAAAAGATCTGTGATCAGAAAAGATTCCTCAGGATCTATTTCTGAGCAGTTACCTAGCAGAGATGATGGTATAGTACCGAATTTATTTTATTTAACCCCTTGATGTTGACCCCTTGATTATAAAGGACTATCATAAATACATTGCCCTGTTACACTATATTGTTCTTATTGATTGAAGGATTTAGATGTGCATAGAGTTCATACTTCAGTCAGATTTGATAAGGAAATGATTTAAATCGAACGAATTCGATTCCATTTTTATTTTATTCCTTTTTAATTTCTTTTCTTTTGTTTTGGTGCTGAGGATTGAACCCAAGGGCCTCACATATGCTAAGAACATGCTCTGCTCTGAGTTACCACTCCCAACTCCTCCTCTGAGACAGTCTTCTTTTTAAAATATATTTTCTGTATTATGTATAGACAGTATAAGGACTGAATTGTTTAGTTACATAAGATACTCAGCACCTCTACCAGTGAACACACTCGTTCTTAGTGCTTTAGAGAATTACCTCATGATAATATATTTCTGAACTTAGAATTGCTGGACCGAAGGAAACACATAAAAATGAAAGGATTTTTCTCATGTGTTTCTAATATACTCTATTCACCAAATTTCCCGTGGGAGTATAGGAGTAGCCAGACTCATGAGCATTCAGTATTTTCATTTTTTACAATCTGTAACTACATGTTATGTTTTAAAAAAACAAGTTTCTAATTAAAAACTTACCAACAAAGAAAAGCCCAGGCCCTGATGGATTCACTGCTGAATTTTACAAGACATTTAGAGAAGAACTACTACCATTACTCTTCAAACTTTTCAATGAAATTGAAAGAGAAGCTATACTTCCAAATTCATTCCTGGAAGCAAGTATCACTCTGATTCCCAAACCAGAGAAAGATACAACCAAAAAGGAGAACTACAGACCAATCTCCTTAATGAATATAGATGCAAAAATCCTTAATAAGATACTAGCAAACAGAATACAGAGGATTATTAAGAAGATCATCCATCATGACCAAGTCGGATTTATTCCAGAGATGCAAGGGTGGTTCAACATACGAAAGTCAGTGAATGTAATACATTATATTAACAAAGTCAAGGACAAAAACCATATGATCCTCTCAATAGATGCAGAAAAAGCATTTGATAAAATTCAACACCCATTCATGATAAAAACCCTGCAAAAAATTGGAATAGATGGTCTATACCTCAATTTAATAAAGGCTATTTATGAAAAACCATCAGCCAACATCATATTGAATGGCCAAAAACTGAAAACCTTCATGTTAAAATCAGGAACAAGACAAGGATGCCCACTATCGCCACTTCTCTTCAATATAGTTCTGGAAACATTAGCCACAGCAATTAGACAAGAGAAAGAAATTAAAGCAATAAAGATAGGAAAGGAAGAAGTTAAACTATCATTATTTGCTGATGATATGATACTCTACATTGAAGATCCAAAAAACTCCACCAAAAAACTTCTAGACTTAATTGACAGATTCAGTAAAGTATCTGGATACAAGGTGAATACCCAAAAATCAATAGCCTTTCTATACACAAATAACAGACAGACAGAAAGAGAAATAAGGGAAAAAATTCCTTTTACAATAGCATCCAAAAAAATGAAGTATCTAGGAATCAATCTAACAAAAGAAACAAAAGATCTCTACACTGAAAACTACAGCACTCTGAAAAAAGAAATCGAAGAGGATATAAAAAAATGGAAAGATATCCCCTGCTCCTGGGTAGGAAGAATCAACATAGTGAAAATGGCCATACTACCGAAACTGCTATATACATTCAATGCAATGCCAATTGAAATTCCAACACTATATTTCACAGAACTAGAAAAAAGAATCCAAAAATTCATTTGGAACCACAAGAGACCTAGAATAGCAAAAGCCATTATAGGCAACAGTCACATGGCACCAGGTGTAACAATTCCCAATTTGAAACTATACTACAAAGCCACTGTGATAAAATCAGCATGGTACTGGCAAAGAAATAGGCCTGAGGATCAATGGAACAGACTGGAAGACACAAAAACAAATGCAGATGTACTCAGCTACCTCATCTTCGACAAAGGAGCTCACCATCCTCAGTGGAGGAAAGATAGCCTCTTTAATAAATGGTGTTGGAAAAACTGGATATCAACCTGTCACAGATTAAAATTAGACCCTTATCTTTCGCCATGCACTAAATTAAAATCCAAATGGATTAAAGATCTAAATATTAAAACAGAAACATTAAACTTGCTGGAAAGTAAGTTAGGCAGAACTCTGGAAGACATTGGTATAGGAAAAGACTTTATGAACAAATCCTCAGTAGCACGGGAACTAGCAGAAAGAATCAACAACTGGGATCTCATCTTACTAAAAAGCTTCTGTACTTCAAAAGAAACCATTAGCAGAACTAAGAGACAATCTACAATGTGGGAAAAAATTTTTACCAGCTGTACCTCAGACAAAGGACTATTATCAAGGATATATAAAGAACTCAAAACAATCAGTCCCCCCAAATATAAAGACCCGATCCAAAAATGGGCATCCGAAATGAACAGACATTTCTCATACAAAGAAGTGAAAGCAGCAAGAAAATATATGAAAAAATGTTCCACATCACTGGTCATTCGAGAGATGCAGATGAAAACAACACTGAGATTCCACCTCACCCCACAAAGAATGGCTGCTATCAAGAAATCACACAATAACAAATGTTGGCGGGGTTGTGGGGAGAAAGGAACCCTCCTCCATTGTTGGTGGGAGTGCAGACTAGTGCAACCACTATGGAAATCAATATGGAGATACCTCAAAGAGCTTGGACTGGAGGTTCCATTTGACCCAGCCATCCCTCTGTTGGGTATCTTTCCAAGAGAACTAAAAGAATCATATCACAGAGAAGTATGTGCACCCATGTTTATAGCGGCACAGTTTGTAATAGCTAAATCTTGGAAACAACCTATTTGCCCATCCGTTGGAAACTGGATAAAGAAGTTGTGGTTTTTCTATAAAATGGAATATTACTCAGCCATAAAGAGCGAGAGAATAGATTCATTCATAGGAAAATGGATACATATTGAAGATATACTCCTAAGTGAAATAAATAAGTCCCACATGTGTAAATACCGAATAGTTTCCCTGGTGTGAATATTCTGCAACAATGCATAAGATTCTAATAAGATTACTGACATTTAGAAATGGGAGGAAAGGAGCTAAAGGTGTAGGGAAGGTGTGATACGTAGGGGAAGAACAAAAAGGGAAAAGAAAAAAATGTGAGAGAATGAAAAGATGAAAATAAAGTGTTTGTAGATGGGGAGGGGAGGAGGGGGTGAAGGGAGGGCAGAGGTAAGGGGAAAAAATGAGAATCAAGACTTGCCATGTAAAGGTACATGATCCCAACAATGAATGTAACTGTACTGTATCCCTAAATGTACCAATAAACTCAATAAAAAAAAAAAAAAAACAAGTTTCTATTTTTCAAGAAAATGCTGATCATTAAGAGAATAAGAAATATACTAATATTGAATAGATATGAAATTAAAATTTTATGATGCTTTAAACTTACCAATAAACTTGCTTTGAGATTTTTTATGACACAAAAGATTATTTTTTAAATGGAACTGTATATGTTGGTAAGCTATAAAATTACCTTGGGTGGATTTGTTTGAAATTTAAATACCACACATATATAAACGTGACTCTTATTTCAGGCTGGAGTGAGCAGTTACCAGATACTCTGGTTGATGAATCTGCTTCTGTTGCTGAGAGCACTGAAAAAATAAAGAAACGATACCGAAAAAGGAAAAATAAGCTTGAGGAAACATTCCCTGCTTATTTACAAGTAATATTATGCTTTACATTATGTTAAGTTTTTAAAAGTAGATTTATTGTTGTTGTTTTCATTTAATCATAAATGTCATTTTACCTTTCAGAACCCCATATTAACATTCACCCTTTTTTGACTTTGATACTTTTCATAAAGTTTATCTCACTTGCTCACTTCTAAACATTCTATAGTAAAGACACATTGGAGTGTGAAAAGCTGTCTTCTATATCATTGATATTTTTGAGCAGATGAAAATCTAGATCCTGTTGAAAGTTCCCTTGGCCAGTACAGGTTACAGCAATTATTGAATTAAAGATAAGTTTAGGTAAGCAGCCAGAGTGACAGCTTTAATAATTCTCTGCTGCTTTTAGAAGGCTAATGAACCAAAGACTAAGCCAGAGAATTCTTTTATTTTCCAAAATACACATTAGAAAGGTATATCTCAATATGAATAAATTATATTTTACAGGTACAGGGTACAAAGAAGAAAATCTTCTTAATCTTGAAAACATTAAGTTACAGAATTCAAAGCCATGTAATATGTTAAAAGTGCTCTATATTAAAAATAGGACTGAAAAAAATTTAACATTGACCATAGATAATTCTAGTCTCTGAGCCTGGTATTCATCTTTTCTGGGCCACTGTTTCTTCCATTGAATTGGGACAGACCATCCCTGAGTGTCCATGTCTGTTTGAATGTATGGAATTGCTCATCTGATCTGTCTTCTCAAGAAACTATGCACTGTGAAACATATCCTGCTTGAGCTGTACATAGTTTCTAATTTTCCAGTTAGCTATTATTAATTTGTTATAAAATACATTTTCTTTCAGTTCGTATGCAACTTTCTCTTTTAGTAATTAGACTACTAACATTTTAATGGCCATGTTCATGTTAAAGAGTTCATTCATCCTTTAGAGTCAGAGTTCTGTGTTTGCATGCCATTCTCCAGTTGTATGACCTTGCTCTGTTCACCATCTCTTTGCCCCTGGGTTCGATCCCCCGCATTCCAGGGGGGAAAAAGAACAGTTATACAGAATATCTACTCTGTGCCTTACTTTAATATAGTCTTCAAGACATGTTTTATTTTCTCCTTATTTCCTTCAAATATTCTTTCATCCTAGCTTTGCACTTATTTTTAAATAGTAATTTTATTGGTCAGGAAGTAAATCCATTTCTTGTTTGCATCTTTGATCTTGTTGCCTCCTGTTTCCCTCCTTTCCTTTCTTAGCAGACCTTTCTGGGAGTACTGAGCAGATGAGTTGCTCCCTGTCTGTAAACTGTAATGTGCATTTATTTCTTAGCTGTTTATAAAAGTGTGAAAACTGACTTTTTAATACAATGGCAAGTCATTAAAAGTATTAGACCTAATTTAGCAGTTACTGTTGAGACCTTTATTGGGCTGTATTTTTTCCTCTCATATCCAAAAGCAAGATTGAACACCCCCCCCCAGTTAATATGAAGGAAGCCTTTGTAATGATACTGTGTCTTAGGTGTCTTGAGATAGTTGTATTTTCCCCCTTTGATTAGGGAAACACATACTGACAGAAATGTAGTAGGGATTCGAAGCATTCTTTCTGTATTTTCTTTTTCTTTTTTTTAAGAGTAGGAAAAATTTATTGAAAGATAGCTTCTAAGAGAGACAGAAGGGGGACCGAAAGTGGGTTGCCCCCTTTCTATATTTTCTTTATGAATCACAAAATGTCTAGATAAACTGTATTATATAACCTCTGGACTAGAAATATTTATGAGATCTGATAGCCATGTGATTTTAGGAATGCTTGTAGTAATTCAGTTTCTGGTTGGTTCTTTGAGTCATTAACAGTATCAGGTTAGGAATCCTGTGGGAATACTTTTCTGCGTTAACTACAACTGAAACTTTGCTCAGTTAACAAATGTTCCATTTCTGCTCCTGCTCCTGCTCCTGCTCCTGCTGCTCCTCCTTCTCCTTCCTTCCTTCCTTCCTTCCTTCCTTCCTTCTTCCTTCCTTCCTTCTTCCTTCTTCCTTCTTCCTTCTTCCTTCTTCCTTCTTCCTTCTTTTCCCTTTGGTACCGGGGATTAAACTCAGGACCTTGCACTTGCGAGGCAGGCCCAGTGCCACTGAAGTAAATCTCCGGCCCTCCATTTCTTGATAATCATTAGTAGAATCACCGTGAATTACTAAAAATATTGCTAATTGTGGCTTCAGATTTCTCAAATTTATAAAGGATTAAATAAATAATCTCTTAACTTTCTGGGTGCTTTATGCTCATCAGCACTTTACCTGATGATCAGAGCATTGCTGGAAAAAGCAATGCTTCCATTCAGTGTTCTAGCTTTGCGGATTTTAAAATTTTTCATGGTGAATGATTTGTCTGTTTAAGGAGTATGAAAATTTAAAATCTCCTAAATTGTTGCCTCGGCAGACTTTACCCCAAATCTCTTTCAAAAGTGGGAGCTTTCTATATTTTATTTGTACATGCTTACAGTAGTCTTGATTTGTATATTTTGCTAAGTAATTTGTTATACCATTCATCTTACGTCTTTTTATTTTTTTGGAGCTAAGTACCTTGAATATTGTAGGCAAACACTTAACCATTGAGCCACATCTCCAGCCCTCAACTTTTAACAGATTTTAGGGGTTTTCTTAGAAACCATGGCTCACATAGTTTTTAAAATTGTATTTTTGATTTAGTCATGTCCCTGCTTGGGAACATTAAGTCTGTTTTCACTTTTTGTATTATAAAAAATGCCACAGTGAACCTTTTTTTATATCTGTTTGCTAGAATATGTTAAATGTTGATGTCTACTACAAAATTGTCTTTCAAAGAATCCTTTTTTCAGACAAGAAAATAGAGTAGAACGGGGTTGCTAGGTTGAAACAAGAGAAAATGTGCCCTGCATACGTCCTTTTTGTTTTCTGTACTGATCATTTAAAAGTGTGGGGGAGACCTGGAGTTGCCAGGACCCTAGCTGAGTAAATTAGCCAGAAGGTGGAGGTGGTATGTTGAGGTGGAGGAATGCTCATCTGAGTAGATGGTTAGTAAGCCAGAATCCTTTAGCAGCTGCTAATGCTGTATACATGGTGTGGTTAAAATGATTGTAAAAGCCCTCTTTCGGATTTATAGTGGAAGTCCTCTAATGTATATGAATCAATATGAGATTACTAAATCTACCTGAAATTTGTAAATATTAATGCTATAGATCAGAGTCTTGTGCTAGCCTCTGCAAGTAATCTGTATTAGTATAATATTCATGAAGCTTTAGTTTTGCTTACAATATGATTTAAGGTACCAATGGTATTAGAAATTATTAATTTTTAAATTTAATTATAACCTAATCTATAATTGAATTATTCTTCAGTGGCCAGAAACACATTTGACATAATTGTGTGTTTATATTTCTATAATTTTATTTGTCTCTTGTACTAAAGCTACAAAAGTCTTTTTTTAATAATCTAAAAGAATTGACAGACTCCTGTGTTTTTATATTCAATTTCTATATTGTTAAATAGAAAGGTTTTCTATTTTGTCAGAAATGATGGCAGGATAGTTTCTGTCTAGAATTTTATAACTAATCATTTTCTTATGTGCTTATCTTTGTCTAGGAAGCTTTCTTTGGAAAAGATCTTCTAGATACAAGTAGACAAAACAAGCTGAATTTAGATAATCTATCAGAAGATGCAGCTCAGCTTTCATATAAAACAAACATGAACACAGGTTTCATGGATCCTTCCTTAGATCCACTACTTAGTTCTTCCTCAACTCCAGCAAAACCTGGAACTCAGGGTATGTAGAATAACTCACAGGTTTTTTTCTTTGTATCAGATGGCATTTACCTTCCTTTTAAGTCAACCTTAGAAATGCTTTTGTTTATCCTTACATACATTTTTAAAAGCAACTTTATTGAAGTATGATTTATATTTAGTAAATGCAACTATATTAAGTGGTCAGGTCTATCAGATTTGGCAAATTGACTTAACCTGTGCTCCTATCACCAAAATCAGGAGTGTAAAGAAAAACTTTAGTTTATACGTTACTGAGTTGTTCTCTTAAAGTTAGGTAATACTTATTTTTGTTAATTACATAGTTAAAAGAAATTCATAACAGAAACCAAAAAGAATACCACAATAAAGAATTTTCTGGTAGACTTGATACAGTGAAATAAGTTACCCTACATTCTGGTTTCTTACCACTTCCTTTGTTGTGTGGGAAAGAGGCTGTTCTCTGCCAGAGAGAGTGATGAACAACATTTCTATGAGTCTGAGATCATGACAGTCGAAAGTGTTGTCAGATACTGCTAAAGAGTCCTTGGTCAGCACAATTATCTGTTTGAGAACCATGTCTTAGATGGGAATGTGGGAACTCTTAAGATCAGGGAAGAGAATCAGGGATGTAGCTCAGTGGCACTATGCCTGCCTAGCAAGTGCAAGGTCCTGAGTTTGATTCCTGATACCTCAAAAAGAATCAGGGAAGAATGAGAGAACTTAATATGTTTATAAAACAATATTAATGTCAACAAGGCTCTAGAGGTTTAGTTGGACTGTGCTTTCAGTGCTTTTTCCCCACTTCTATATTTTTTTAGTACCATCAGCTATAAACTAATGTTTTTTTGACAGGCTTTCTTTTTGCCATTGAGTACATTTGTTATTCAGTTCTTTGATAAACTCATTTTGGAAAACAATTTTAAGGCAGCCCTCCGCTGAAAAAAATGACTTTTTTTTTTTTAAAGACAACGGTATTTCAGGCTGGCCTTGAACTCACTGTGGAGCCCAAAGCCCAGGATGGACTTGAGCTCTCAGTGATCCTCTTGCCTCGGCCTCCCAAGTGCTGGGATTCAGGCATGTGCCTGAAAAAATGGCTTTTCATATTAACTTAGTATCGTCCTAGATTGAGGTATGGTTTGCTCACTTTTATCTGCAAAGTTCTGTGTCTGCAAATAAGAGCCAACATCAGGGACTTGAGTATCTGCACATTTTGGTATTTGCAAGGGCCCCTGAAACCAGTCCCTGGGAGGTGCTGAGTTTCCCTACACAGGCTCCTTTTTTTTTTGTTGTTTTTTTGTTTGTTTGCTTTTTTCATACCAGGGATTGAACTCTGGACTTTACTCTTAGACCTTATTTTTTAATTGATTATTGAAATAAGTAGAATATCCTTTTGTACACACAGCACATCCAGTCTACCTCATTATTGATAGTGAAGGATGAAAACACTGGACTAAAGTCTATACCCTTTGTTCAGTCTTAACAAATTTTAAAAAAATGTTTACATTCTGTTTTTTTAAGTACTTACTAGCTCTTAGCCATATCAATGTGTTGTTAAATTAATGTATAATGAAAGATTTGTGGGTCCTTGAATGGTTATCTTATATTCCTGACAGGCCATTTAAAATACTTTAATTGGAGTTATTTGCATTAGAGTTTTATGAGGAAAGGCATTTGCTGGATGTGTGGTGGTGCACACTTGTAATTCCAGTGCTCTCGGAGACTGAGGCAGGATGAGTGAAGGTTTTAGCTCAGCTTGGGCAATTAAGCAGGACCTTGTTATCATAATTTTATAAAACAGATGGAGTGTAGGTATGATGGCAACACACCTGTAATCCCAGTACAAGGTGAGGCAGGAGGATCACTGCAAGTTCCAGACCACCCTGGGCTACAAAGCAAGAATCTGTCTCAGAAAAACATTGGAAAAGGTGTCGGGGGAAGGGTGGCTGGGATGGGGGTCTGGGGATATGGCTCAGTGAGAAAGCCCTTGGTTTAATCCCTAGTATTACCAAAATAATAAGGAAAAGGATTGCAGTTGGATGAGAACAGATTGTAATAGGAAAACCAGATTATTTTTGTTCCTTTTTCCTTTACTTGCTTGTTTATTCCAAAAAACTGATGAAGATATGGTGATTTTTTTTTTTTTTTTTTTTTTT